AAGCACTTCTAAGAGGGAAGTTTATAGCAATACAAGCCTACCTCAAGAAACAAGAAAAATCTCAAATAAACAATCTAACCTTACACCTAAAGGAACTAGAGAATGAAGAACAAACAAAACCCAAAGTTGGTAGAAGGAAAGAAATCATAAAGATCAGAGCAGAAATAAATGAAATAGAAACAAAAAAAATAGCAAAGATCAATAAAACTAAAGGCTGGTTCTTTCAGAAGATAAACAAAATTGATAAACTTTTAGCCAGACTCATCAAGAAAAAGAGGGAGAGGACTCAAATCAATAAAATTAGAAATGAAAGAGGAGAAATGAGGAGAAGTTACAATGGACACTTCAGAAATACAAAGCATCCTAAGAGACTGCTACAAGCAACTCTATGCCAATAAAATGGATAACCTGGAAGAAATGGACAAATTCTTAGAAAGGTATAACCTTCCAAGACTGAACCAGGAAGAAACAGAAAATATGACCAGACCAATCACAAGTAATGAAATTGAAACTGTGATTAAAAATCTTCCAACAAACAAAAGTCTAGGACCAGATGGCTTCACAGGTGAATTCTATCAAACATTTAGAGAAGAGCTAACACCCATCCTTCTCAAACCCTTCCAAAAAACTGCGGAGGAAGGAACACTCCCAAACTCATGCTATGAGGCCACAATCACCCTGATACTAAAACCAGACAAAGATACTACAAAAAAAGAAAATTACAGACCAATATCACTGATGAATGTAGATGCAAAAATCCTCAGCAAAATACTAGCAAACAGAATCCAGCAATACATTAAAAGGATCATACACCATGATAAAGTGGGATTTATCCCAGGGATGCAAGGATTCTTCAATATACGCAAATCAATCAATGTGATACACCATATTAACAAATTGAAGAAGAAAAACCATATGATCATCTCAATAGATGCAGAAAAAGCTTTTGACAAAATTCAACACCCATTTATGATAAAAACTCTCCAGAAAGTGGGCATAAAGGGAACTTACCTCAACATAATAAATGCCATATACGACAAACCCACAGCAAACATCATTCTCAATGGTGAAAAACTGTAAGCATTTCCTCTAAGATCAGGAACAAGACAAGGATGTCCACTCTCGCCACTATTATTCAACATAGTTTTGGAAGTCCTAGCCACGGCAATCAGAGAGGAAAAGAGGTAAAAGGAATACAAATTGGAAAAGAAGAAGTAAAACTGTCACTGTTTGCAGATAGCATGATACTATACATAGAGAATCCCAAAGATGCTACCAGAGAACTACTAAAGCTAAACAATGAATTTGGCAAAGTTGCAGGATGCAAAATTAATGCACAGAAATCTCTTGCATTCCTATACACTAACAACAAATGATCAGAAAGAGAAATTAAGGAAACAATCCCATTCATGATGGCAACAAAAAGAATAAAATACCTAGGAATAAACCTACCTAGGGAGACAAAACACCTGTATGCAGAAAACTATAAGACACTGATGAAAGAAATCAAAGATGACACAAACAGATGGAGAGATATACCATGTTCTTGGATTGGAAGAATCAGTATTGTGAAAATGACTCTACTACCCAAAGCAATCTACAGATTCAGTGCAATCCCTATCAAATTACCAGTGGCATTTTTTACAGAACTAGAACAAAAAAATCTTAAAATGTTTATGGAGACACAAAAGACCCCAAATAGCCAGAGCAATCTTGAGGGAAAACAATGGAGCTGGAGGAATCAGACTTCCTGGGTTCAGACTATACTACAAAGCTACAGCAATCAAGACAGTATGGTACTGGCACAAAAACAGAAATATAGATCAATGGAACAGGGTAGAACGCCCAGAGATAAACCCACACACCTATGGTCAACTAATCTACGACAAAGGAGGCAAGGATATACAATGGAGAAAAGACAACTTCTTCAATAAGTGCTGCTGGGGAAACTGGACAGCTACATGTAAAAGAATGAAATTAGAACACTCCCTAACACCATACACAAAAATACACTCAAAATGGATTAGAGACCTAAATGTAAGACTGGACACTATAAAACTCTTAGAGGAAAACATAGGAAGAACACTCTTTGACATAAATCACAGCAAGATCTTTTTTGACTCACCTCCTAGAGTAATGGAAATAAAAATAAGGGCTTCCGTGGTGGCACAGTGGTTAAGAATCTGCCTCCCAATGCAGGAGACATGGGTCTGAGCCCTGGTCCGGAAAGATTCCACATGCTGCGGAACAACTAAGCCTGCGCACCACAACTACTGAGCCTGTGTGCCACAACTACTGAAGCCTGCATGCCTAGAGCCAGTGCTCCCAAGAAGAGAAGCCACCACAATGAGAAGCCTGCACACCACAACGAAGAGTAGCCCCCACTCACTGCAACCAGAGAAAAGCCCACATGCAGCAACGAAGACCCAACGCAGCCAAAAATAAAATAAATAAAATAAAATAACTTTATTAAAAAATAATAATAAATAAACAATGGGACCTAATGAAACTTAAAAGCTTTTGCAAAGCAAAGGAAACTCTAAACAAGATGAAAAGACAACCCTCAGAATGGGAGAAAATACTTGCAAACGAATCAACAGACAAATGAATAAGTTCCAAAATATATAAACAGCTCATGCAGCTCAATATTAAAAACAAACAACCCAATCAAAAAATGGGCAGAAGACCTAAATAGACGTTTCTCCAAAGAAGACATACAGATGGCCAAGAAGCACATGAAAAGCTGCTCAACATCACTAATCATTAGAGAAATGCAAATCAAAACTACAATGAGGTATCACCTCACACCAGTTAGAATGGGCATCATCAGAAAATCTACAAACAACAAATGCTGGAGAGCGTGTAGAGAAAAGGGAATCCTCCTGCACTGTTGGTGGGAATGTAAATTGATACAGTCACTATGGAGAACAGTATGGAGGTTTCTTAAAAAACTAAAAATAGAATTACCATATGACCCAGCAATCCCACTACTGGGTATATACCCAGAGAAAACCATAATTCAAAAAGACACATGCACCCCAATGTTCATTGCAGCACTATTTACAGTAGCCAGGTCATGGAAGCAACCTAAATGCCCATCGACAGACAAATGGATAAAGAAGTTGTGGTACATATATACAATGGAATATTACTCAGCCATAAAAAGGAACGAAATTGGGTCATCTGTAGAGATGTGGATGGATCTAGACACTGTCATACAGAGTGAAGTAAGTCACAAAGAGAAAAACAAATATTGTATATTAATGCATATATGAGGAACCTAGAAAAATGGTACAGATGAACCGGTTTGCAGGGCAGAAATAGAGACACAGATGTAGAGAACAAACGTATGGACACCAAGAGGGGTAAGTGGCGGGGTGGGGGTGGGGGTGGGATAAACTGGGAGATTGGGGTTGACATGTATACACTAATATGGATAAAATGGATGACTAATGAGAACCTGCTGTATAAAAAATAAATAAAATAAAGTTCAAAAATTCAAAAAAAAGAAGAAAAAGACAAATTGAATAGGCCTACATTTATTAAATAAATTAAATCAATAATTAATAGCTTGTGAAACAGAAAGCACCAGGTCCAGATGTGTTCACTGATGAATTATCACACAGTTAAGAAAGAAATTATACTAACTTTGTACAAAATCTTCCAGAAAATAGAAGAAGAGGGAAAACTTCCTAACTCATTCTGTGAGGCCAGCATGGCCCTAATACCAAAACCAGACAAAGACATTGCCAGAAAGGCACAGAGCTATTTCTCATGAACACAGATGCAAATGCCCTCAACAAAATATTAGCAAATCTAATCCATCAAAACTTCTTTTTAAAGATCATTAACACAACCCACTTCAGAGTAAGGATTAGAGAAAGGAAACTAAATACATAAAACATTAATCTTTTTATGTGTTTCCTGGGTGCTGCAATAACATTGTAATCTGATTAAGTCCAGGGTTTATTGCATTAAGAGTTATAGTTAATTCCATGTTAACCCATTCAACCCAGGATGGAATGTGAGTAGTACTTTTTTTTTTTTTTTCAATACTGGGCACAGACCACAGTACCCAGCATTATAATAGATGTGTACTATGTTTGATTAACACATGATCAAACAGAGATCTCTTCAGAGAATTTGAAGATCCTAATCAAAGTAGGGGCACTCCCATCTGGATTGCATCCTTGGAATAATATGTGCAGCCACAGAGCCAGCCTGCAAAAATGGGAGTGCTTCAGGCATTTATTCAATTTATTTCATTAGCCCTTGAATTACAGCAAGCATTTGGGTCAAGTGTTGAGTATAGTTCCCCGTGCTATACAGTAGTTTGTTGTTATCTATTTTACAAATGGTAGTGTATATATTTTAATCCCAAACTCCTAATTTATCCCTCCCTCTGCCTCCCTTTTCGTAACTATAAGTTTCTTTTCTATGTCTGTGAGCCTATTTTGTTTTGGAAATAAGTTCATTGGTATCATTTTTTTTTTTGGATTCCACATATAAGCAATATCGTATATTTATCTTTGGCTTACTTCACTTAGTATGATAATCTCTAGGTCAAATCATTTTGCTGCAAATGGCATTATTTCATTCTTTTTTTATGTCTTAGTAGTATTCCATTGTGTATACATATCACATCTTCTTTATCCATTCATCTGTGGATGAACACCTGGGTTGCTTCCATGTCTTGGCTATTACAATAGTGCTGCTATGAGTGTTGGGGTACATGTATCTTTTCCAGTTATGACAACCACCATTTTAAAACCTAACATACGCTTAACCATATCAAAGTGTTGCTCACACAGCAATGGTGAATGCTACTGTCAACCTTTTGTTTCAAATTTTTAACGACTGTATCGGGTCCGGCTGTTAAACGTGACTGCGCTTTCTGCGCCCCTGAGATGCGGGTCCCAGGAGCGGGTGTGTAGCCGGAAAGCACAGAGAGGTCCGCACAACCCACAGTAGAGAACGACAAGGCCCGCGCAAGGACTCACTCAAGCGCGCCGGCGGGATGCAAGGAGTGCAGGATGGAGGCAGCCCATTGGACCAGCCCCGCTCACAGCGCCGCGTCCGCCAATGGGCAGCGGCCTGGGCGGGGCGTCGGCGCGCGGGCGCCTTGAGCAGCGGCTGCGTGGCCGCCCTCGTGGACCAGCCTTCGACGGCGTCTCGTGTGTGCAGGGCCTGCCGGAAGACGTCGGAGGTGCCGGATACTGTTCGCGGAGCCATGTCTCGGCCGGAAACCGGCGCCAACGCCTCTTCCTGGGTTGTTGCTTCTCGGCGGGGCGCGGCGCTGCCTCGGGCTCCGGAAAGGAGCCCGGAGCAGGAGCCGAGCCAAGGCGGTCGCGGAGGCCAGAAGACCGGCGGAGGTGGCGGCTGGAGGGGCCACTCCGGCGTCCAGCAGCCCGTGGGCGCTGGTTTCCAGGAGCCGCCGCTCTCCTTCAGCCTGAAGAACGACTGGGTGGGCGCGGTGATCGGTGAGAGCGGAGAGCCTGCGCGGGCGGGCGGGGGGGGGTGAGGCGGGGCGGGGCCTGTGGCATCCCCGCCCCGCCCGCCTCGCCTCCAATCAGCGGCCACTGGGGCGGCTCGGGCCCCCACCGGACCTTTCTGATACGCTTTGGTGCTAGAGTGATGGTGTTTAATGCACCTCTGTATAGTTTATAGAGACGATGTTTTGGGAGAGCCAACTCTTAGACTTAAGAAATCTTTGGGATGAAAGGTCAGAGCTTTGGCAGCTTACCCCAAAATGAACAACAAAGGAGTCAGTCCGTTTGAGCACCGGGGAGAGCCATTAACCCAAGATAAGAAGGCGTAGGGTATTAAAGGGCTGCTCGGAACATTAGCCATACCTTGCACTTAGTTTCTGTTACTTGAATATGATTAATCTGCCGGAAAAAGTGTTATTTTTCTTAGTATAGCGTGAGTCTTACAAATTCGTTTTTGAAAAGCATTTGGAAATGATTGGAAGTAAGGTTTGCCCCCCTTTTAAAATTGTGGTAAACAACATACATTTACAGGATTGTTGACCCTAAGAACAACGTTGTGTGGTAGATCTGGAGAAGGTTTTCATATTGCACGACTGAATCTACCTCTCAACAACTCATTTCCCCATTCGCCCATCCCTGGCAGCCACCAGACACCTCATAGAAGTGGAATCTGCAGTTTTTGGTGATTGGCTTATCTCAGTGTAATGTCCTTAGGGTTTATATGTGTTGTCACAAATGGCAGGATTTCCTTTTAAGGCTGAAAACTTGCATTGTATGCATATGCCACATTTTTTTCATCCAGTCATCTGTTGACAAATATTTAGGTGATTTCCACCTCTTAGCTATTGTGAATAATGATGAATATGGGAATGCAGATATCTTTCTGAGATCCTAGTTTCAATTCTTGTGTATAAGTTCCCAGAAGTGGGATTGCTGGATCACACGGTAGTTCTATTTTTAGTTTTTAAAGGACTCTGCATACCGTTTCCATAGTGACTGCACCAATTTACATTCCCATTCACAGCGCATAAGGGTTCCCTTTCTCCACATCCTCGCCAACTTGTTATCCCTTGTCTTTTTTTTAATAAAGTTATTTATTTATTTGTTTTTATTTTTGGCTGTATTGGGTCTTCGTTGCTGTGCCCGGGCTTTCTCTAATTGTGGTGAGTGGGTACTACTCTTCGTTGCAGTGCGTGGGCTTCTCATTGTCGTGTGCGGGCTCTAGAGCACAGGCTCAGTAGTTGTGGTGCACAGGCTTAGTTGCTCCGCGGCATGTGGGATCTTCCCGGACCAGGGCTCCAACCCGTGTTCCCTGCATTAGCAGGCGGATTCTTAACCACTGCGCCACTAGGGAAGCCCCATATCCCTTGTCTTTTTGATGAGAGCCATTCTAACAGGTGATATCTCATTGTGGTTTTGATTTGCATATCTCTGATGATTTCATCATCTTTTCATATACACCTGTTGGTCATAAATATGTCTTCGAAGAAAGGTCTATTCAAGACCTTTGGCCATTTTTTAATTGGACTTTTTTGGTTGAGTTGTGTGTAAGGGTTCCAATTTCTTCACATCCTTGCCAACACTTTGGATCCAATTAGTCTCTCCTTGGTCTGGTGGTGAATCCTTAGTAACTACCTCTGGGAAAGGAACCTCCTACCACCCACCACAATTTGGAATAGAAAGCGCCTGCTTCCCTTTTTCCAAACTGAAAGTGATTACTGAACCGTAGGAGGCTTTGTTTAGATGATTTGGGAAGAACTAGAGAAGGCTTTGAGCAAAGTCGGTAGTGGGTTCCCCATAATTGATTTCAATTTTTTTTAAAAAATTCCTTTATGTTTAAAAACAGGGCGTGGTGGGTCAAAAATAAAAGAGATCCAGAGCTCAACATACACCAAAATACAGGTAAATTATTCGGGTTCTTAAATCCTTAAAGAGGATGAACTATGGTTCATTCTTAACTCTAATTTCTCTTCAATTATTAACATACTGTTGTAACTTAGGTAAGTTGCCAAAGCTCTTCATACTTCTTTTTAAGAACTCACCTAAGCTGTAGTCCATTCATTATATCTTAGATGCTGATTGATAGCAATCCTGTATTTCCTTTACACTTTTATTCTTTTTGAGGTTGAGGGCGGGGGGGGGGGGGGGGGGGGGGGGGGGGGGACGGTGAAGGGACTTATCTCACCTATTTCCCCCCTTGTATCTAGATAATAAAAGGGTACCCTGAAGCGGAAGTAAGAATTTTTGGCACCAAGGCAATGCAGAGCAAAGCGAAAACAGCGATAGATAATCTTGTTCAAAAACAAGAAGACTACAAAACAGAACCCAAAGTTGGTAAGTAATTTTTGCCCACTAAAGCCCTGTAAAATTTTAAATGTTTTATTCAGTGTTATAAGCCCTATTATAACTGCTTTTCCTGATAACAAAGCTTTGGCTTGCCGTCATTAAATCTAGTCTGTTACAGAATTTTTTTTCTATGAAATTCAGGATACTTTTCCTCAAACCAAGACGCTTAATATCTGCTGTTAAGCCTAGCAGTTTTACTTTTGAGTAAAAACAAAGTAACCTTTTAATACACTTCACTATTGATGGTACAGCAAGGATTAGTCCTGGCCTCCTGTCTATGGTCCCTTCCCTGGAATGTGACTGATTTTGAAAACTGCCTAATTATTTGATATTTAAAAAAATCTCAGATCTACTTAGACTAGAGAACTATTTCCAGAAGCAACAAGGAGAAGAGTCTTGGGTTCAGATGGCAGCATTGCCTCTTAGTGTTTCTTGGGAAAGAACCTCTAAAAAGCCTCTAAGACACTGTTTCTTCTGTTTCCCTGGGGTAACATCTGCCACACAGAATTATTGTAATGATAAGCGATGTGCTATTTATTATCAGACACTAGTCTCTCATGCTTTTTAACTGCTCCAGTAATTTTTTTTTTGCATTTCCGAAATCTGAAGTAAATAACTGGCAAACCGTGACCAGAATTGTCATGGCACTGTTGAACTAAATTCCTAAATTTAATGTTTCAAGCATTATTATTGTTGGATTATGAAAACAGAAAATAATAAAATTGTTTTGGATTTTATACTGGTAGGATTTGTTTGGAAACTAATTTGGAATATTTTTAACAGATGTTGCTGTTGTCCAACCTTCGGATGGAAAAGATGCAAGGAAAGATGTTTCAGGAAATCAGAAATTGGTTGATTGGGATAAGTGCCGAGAAAATATTTTGAAATGGAGCAAAAAAAAGTGGGCAGGTTAGTGCTGTATCCCAACACTTATATGTGGTATTGTTGTTCCTAGTAATTGAGGTTTTAGCCTCTATAAAAAATGTGTTGCTCTTAGTAATGAAATCTATATGCAAAATGACAGTAGAATTTGAAATGCTGCAATTAGTCTCTAGGACATGATATTTCTATGTCTGTGTTGCAGTTTACGTTACAAATGGAAAGTTAAAACTTATTTATACCTTGTCTTATTTGAGGTAACTAGCTGCACAAGTTTAATAAAAATAGAAAATTGGGCCAAAAGGGAAATTGATGGTACAGTGAGTAAACATGCCAACCAGGAGTTAACATTTTGCTATGACTGAGCAAAAATTGATCTTGGAGTGTCCTGGCCAAGAAGGGCAAAATAAAAAGGGAAAAACATTTAATAAGATCATATAGTTCTTGAAGAAATGGGTTTTTTAAATTCTCACTTGGAATTATATATGGAGTATAATGCTCTACATTATTCACTGAATTTCAGAGTAAATTCAGGCATTAATTTGATCAGAATGAGGCAGTGGGACGACATCATTTATTTAAAGTTAAACGGTGAACACTACCATGTGACAAATATTAACAAGGATTCATTCCACTCTGGTGGTCAGCCTATCCCATGCCATCTCAACAACATGTGTTGGGAGATTTGGGTGGAGGTGGGGAACAGAAAAAGGATTTAAGTTTGGTGGAAGTATGATAAGCATTTAAAAAAGAAAACAGGGCTTCCCTGGTGGTGCAGTGGTTGAGAGTCCACCTGCCGATGCAGGGGACATGGGTTCGTGCCCCGGTCTGGGAGGATCCCACATGCCGCGGAGCGGCTGGGCCCGTGAGCCATGGCCGCTGAGCCTGCGCGTCTGGAGCCTGTGCTCTGCAACGGGAGAGGCCACAGCAGTGAGAGGCCCGCGTACCTCAAAAAAAAAAAAAAAAGAAAAGAAAACAAAGTAGCTTCAAAGTAGAGGATAGAATAAGGATAAATATTTTATTCCTAAACAGTAATGGGATGGACTCTCAAAGAAAAGAAAGTTAGCTTACTATGAGAGAAGATTCGTCACTTGTGATGGCTGTGTGTCTTGTGAAGCATGGTTTCTTTTATTTTATATTTAATTATTAAAGATCTCTTTCTTGGGTGAAAAATGTAATTGAAAGACAAAGCAAAAATGGAGATCTCTTAGAGGCTGGCAGAAGCTTGGCTGGCAAAGTGTGGGACAGCTGTCTAGAACTATTATCTGTGCAAGGTGAACCTGATACATATTTTAGTTTGATTTCTGTTGCTTTGAATAAATGTCAATGAAATGTAAGTGCTCATTAATCACCCAAGTTAAAATTTTAGTTTTTGTCCCAGGTTTACCTCCAATTAAGAAAAACTTTTACGTGGAGTCAGAAACAACAAGTTCAATGTCACAAGACCAAGCAGACAATTGGAGGTGAATAGTTTTACTACTTTTTATTGAGTATTTGTAGAGGTTTGCTGGTAAATTAACCCATTAGGAAAAGATTTGAAATGATTGCATTTAAAACTGTAGCTTCCTATTCAAAAGAAAACTTGGTTGCACCCTACATCATATACATTAGAGCATTGCTGTCCAATAAAACTTTTGGCGAAGAGGGAAATGGGCTATATTTGTGTCTAGAGTAGTTACTATACATATGTGGCTATTAAACACTTAAAATGTAGCTAATATAATTGAAGAACTGAATTTGAAATTTTAAATTTAAAGAGACACGTGG